GATTATCTTGTCACACGTAAGCTGTATACCAATAAGGCGAGGAGATATCCTTGCTTGTTTCCCCCCCAAGGAGACAACGTTCTGGACACTGGGTTGAAGTTTGAGGATCACAAATACTCAATCAACCATACGCAGTTTTGGAGGCTACTTCTATCCGCTGACAACACAACGAACTGGACGCTCGATTATCGAGAGCCCTATTCGTCCTGTGCAACCGAACTAAACTGAACTGGACTGGACTGGACTGGACCACATTGTGGACGTCACCGTATTCTTCTGCTGCCTATTTATACTCATCGATGTCCGGCATTGACAATGAACCTCCTCAGAAAAAAGAAGCAGCAAGCATCAAAAGGGCTCATGTGACTGAAGATAAGCCAAATTCTCAGACTGGTGGTGGAGAAACGGCTGAGCAAAAGGATGAATTAGACACTTTCGAAATCCATGAATTAGACATACCTGATCGAGAGAGCGAGGAAATAGACTTCGAGCATTGTAGAATTCGGGCAATCAGCCACTTGGAAATCTTACCCAACGTAATTATGTTGATGGTTTCTAATGTGCTTCAGGTTAAGTATTTGTGTTTGCGGAACAATCTGATAAAGAAACTGGAAAACTTTGAACCAATCGCCGCGACGTTAAATGACCTGGATCTTTATGACAATCAGATCACAAAGGTAACTCGGTTGTTTTAGGTTATTATTTTCGTTGTCGGATACTGTGATTTCATCGTTTTTTTATGCTGCGTCGTTCAAATGCGGATTGTTCTAGCTTCAAGTTCGAAGAGCAGTGGGAATTCTCCCTTATTAGACCCACCTCATGCTCCATTGGTCTGACTAAGTATTGGCACCATTTTAGTACTCCTGCATGGCTCTGTCGAGTTTTAATTTGAACATGCCGTCTTCTGGTAACGCATTCCAGAGATGTCACCCTGTTTGACAGAATAGACCAGCCGCAGACCGTTTCACTGCGTCTGTATGTCCGCCAATGCAGTTTCTGTTCAGTGGAAATTTCGACTGCAGTTCTGGGCCAAAGTCTGATGGAGATCAGGTCGCCACTGAGTCGTCTGTATGAAATGAGGAATCATCACGACGAGATTACACCTTGACGTGGTGTGATGGCTTGTGCACCTGTATGACCCAACGAGCTACACAGGATGGCTTTTACCGAGCCAAAGATCTAATCATGCATGGAAGGTCGATGGGTAGAGATCAGACGAAGTTCAGTCTGCTAGTCCTCCAGATTAGGGGTTCGCCTGGAATTTGGCGTTTCAGTCTGTATAACCGGTGGAGGAGTAATCGATCCAAGTAAATGGGCCTTCACTTCGCCTCACCCGCTGCCTTGCGGTTAGGTTCTTGTTAGAACTACAGGCTTTGGACGAGAACCCTAATCGTTCTCCTGCTTAGTGGCTGGACACCCTAGCAGTACCCGTCCACCAAACCCCAATGCATACACATTGGGAAATTCCGTTGCAATCATTCAGTCTTCATAGCTAGTCCCACGCAGCCCCACGACGGTGTGTAACCTTTCGTCGTTAATTCTTGATCACGAGGAACCGGAGCCTGCGATCACGGTTCAACTGTCCATGAACTTTCATTTTCATTCAAGTTAGCGTTGTTCCATGGACAATATATCCACCATTGAGTGCGTGGTTTTGCAAAGCCTTCGCTCGATCGTTTAAACGATCCCTGGTTTACACAGACAACCTTCGGGCTTCGTTTTAATCCCTGTGCCCTATTTACAGCGATGATCTCAAGCTATAGCGGGCAACGACGACGGCCGCATTCTACAGTAAGACGTGTCTGGAAGATTGGTCCTCAAGATGGTCTCTGCATCTTAACACTGAAAAGTATGCGTATTTCCGGGTGGGTCAAGCAGCGAACACCGGAAGTTACATGGTCACCCTGTTTGTTCATCCACACGCGGAAACGATTTGAGGCTCCCACCCCAACAACCATTAGTCAAGTCAATAGTTTCACCAAAGATTACGAAAGCATTTCAGTTTAGCCTGCACAGGAAATTGTGTAAATCAATTCAAGGATACATTCAGTTCGTTTTTTCTGTCGTTTCAAACGCTATGATTCCCTAGTTACACGAAACGGCACACAAAAGCTACCTAGTCACAAATCACCCATTGCCTTCTTTTATGTTTTCGTGGGAAACTTCACTACCAGTTGCTTATTCCACGGCAATACTACCGTGTTGATGACGAATTTATCACGAAAATGTATTTTTTCTTGGCCTATATATTTTCCATGTCCATGTATTTCACACGCTTTTTACCAAACAAATAATAGCACAATAATCTTTATGGAAAAGAGAAAGTTCCATGATTTCCACAGCAGATACTCCCTTGAGAATTTGGATATTCTTCTGTATCGACTCCATTTAGGCGAATACACCGTCACGACGAGACTGCATCTTTACGTGGTGTGATGGCTTGTGCACCTCTCTGATCCACCGAACGGGATGGATTTTATCAAGCCGCAGGTCTAATCGTGCCTGGAAGGTCAATGGGTAGAGGTCAGACAAAGTCCAGTCTCCTGGTCCTCCAGGTTGGGGTTCGACTTGAGTTGGCGTCTCACTCGGTAAAACGTGTTGGAGGAATAGTTGATCCAAGTTAATGGGCCTTCAATCCGCCTTAACCTCTGCCTTGTGGTTAGTTTCTTGTCGGAACTAAAGGCTTTGGACCAGAACCCTAATCGTTCTCCTGCTTAGTGGCTGGACACCCTAGCAGTACCCGTCCGTCAAGCTCAAATACATACAAAACCAAGAAATAATTCCATACTGCATCGGTCGTCGGGCAGGATAATCAAGACCGCGCTGCCCATTGCATCGAGCAGGGTGGGTAGTGACAAGTGGGCTACTGCTCAGATATCCCAATCTTTGGTTTACTGTGTATTCCGTACCCAACCCTCTCCCTTTACACTTTCTTCCAACCTGTAACATGCCCTCAGACAACTTGTTCGTCACTCGCCAAAGTTTTTTGCCAAGTATCTCGATAAGTAGATTACCATAAAATAGATTGCATGTTCTGAAGCCTCGTCAATCACTGAATCTGGGGGCGTTCAACATGAGGACTCTGATGCAGGTAGGTCAACAAGCATGTCTGGTGTGTACAATGGATTCTTTGAGAATGGTTGTCTGCTGCGTGTCAGAGACTCGAATTCAGGATCCGAGTACTATATGCCACTTAAGTGCACCAGGGTTGTCTTCGAGNGCGATACGGCTTCAGGGTCTATCAGTGTCCGTAAAGGAAGCAACACCAAAAGGTGTTCATTCATCATTTCAGGGTATGCTCCGACCAACTACAGTTCTGACGCACAAAAGGACGAGTTTTATGATAAACTCACCGAACTCATTCGGTTGGGTCGAAGCTCCGATATAGTTGTTCTCTCAGATGATTTCAACGCTCAAGTTGGAAAATTGAGCGCATCGGGAGCTTGCCTAGGCGGTCATTGTCCTCTGCTCTGCCAGCGAACAGATAATAGCGATCGACTTCTTCAGTTCTGCACAGATCGTCATTTGCTCCTATCCAGCACCAACTTCCGACACAGCTCTCAACGGACAGCAACGTGCGCTCAAATTCAATTGGCACGCTAACCCAGATGCACCACATAGCAGTAAGCTACCGTTGGCATGGCTCAGTACAAAACTGCGGGTCCTATTGGACCACCTGCGTTGAATCTGATCATGCGTTAATCTTGATGCAGTTCACTCTCTAACTCACTGGTAGCAGAAAATCCCACCAAACTCGATTGGCAGGTCATCGCTTATCTGACCCAGCCGTCCGTGCCCGTTTTGAGTCAGAACTAGGACAAGATCTAAACGCACTGCGGGGTGGTAGTGTAAATGAACAATGGGATCATATTAGGCGAGCAATGCACTCCGCAGCGAACGTTGATTGTGGATTTGAAGCAATAGCCTGCCCGAAGCAGTGGATATCTGATGAGTCAGTAGCACTGATGGAGAAAAAGCGGCAAATCCCAACCACCCGGGATCAAGGCAGGGTTAGATAGCGTCTACAACGTCATCTCACGAGGAGCCTCAAGAAAGACCGTGAGAACTGGTGGGCAACGATAGCTAGTGAAATGAAAGTTGCGGCTGCATCAGGGAATAGTCAGAGACTGTTCCAGCTGATACACAATACGGGAGGTCGGTGAACCACGGTTAGTGGAACAGTCTGCGACAAAAGTGGACAAGCTATTCACAATAGGGAACAACGGCTTGACCGATGGGCGGAGTACTTCAACGAACAGTTCAGCTGGCCAGGCGCTAACCAGGCTATCTCCTCCGATGTAGCTGAGGCTCCATGGGCAGTGCCATCTGAACCTCCTACTGCAGTAGAAGTTTGTTCTTGCATCCAAGCCCTGAAGAAAGGAAAAGCAGCAGGGCCAGACGGGCTTCCTCCCACCCTTTTCAAGATGGAGTGGGGGCGATGACCTTGTAGACTCCATGACTGATTTATTGCGTAACATCTGGTTACACGAACGCATTCCATCGTCGTGGAGCATATCACTGATCGTTCCAATTTTTAAGAAGGGATCTCGCGATGACTGCGCAAACCACCGTGGAATAAGTTTGATCCCAATCGTCAGCAAGTTACTAGCCTCCATTGTACTTCGACGTCTGACGCCGTTTAGGGAGACAAACATCCGCGAACAACAAACAGGATTTCGACCAGGTCGCGGTTGTATCGATCAAATCTTCACCCTGCGTCAAGTCCTCGAGCTACGCCATACGCACCGTCGACCAACGGTTGTCGTGTTCCTTGACCTAAAAGGAGCCTTCAACTCAGTTGATCGTGAATCCCTTATGGGTTCACTCATTCGCAAAGGAATGCCCGAGATGTACATCAACCCATTGAGGTCACTTTACTCACAGACCTCTGATCGTGTAAAGACTAACAGCAATCTAAGTAGGCCGTTCGTCACTAGCAGCGGCGTCCGTCCACCGTGCCCTCTTTCGCCATTCCTGTTCAAGTTCGTCATAGACGAAATGCTGAGGAACGCACGGAGTGGACTTCATAATGTAGGTATTGGATGGGCACCTGGAGAAAAACTGTACGATCTAGAATACGCTTACGACATCATTTTCTTGGTCAAATGTATGGAAGATGCACAAAGAGCACTTGACAGATTAGCAATTTCTGTCGTTCCGTTCAACATGTGCTTTGCACCTTCAAAGTGCAAAGTAATGCTGCAAGACTGGATGTCGCCGAGTTTTGTTCTGAAACTAGACGGTGAGGCATTAGCTGAAGTTGACTGCTTCTCGTACTTAGGTAGCTGCGTGACCAACGGCGGTAGCGCATCGAAGGAGATAACGGCCCACATTTCCAAGGTTCGAGCAGCGTACGCAGGACTAAAACACCTGTGGCGGCGACGTGACGTGCCACTAAAGTTGAAAANNNAGAAGACACCCGTCGTTTAGCAGTTTTCGACAATCGATGCTTACGTAATCTGGCCCAAGTGGGATGAAGTGAGCGGGTTAGTAACTTAGAAGTAAGTCATCGGGTGTTTGAGAATACATCAGAGAAGAACTCGCTTTCTCATCGAATCCAGGTCAGTAGGCTCCGTTGGTTAGGACACGTTTTATGTATGTCCGACGGTCGCCTACCGCAGCGCGCCTTGTTTTCAGTGGCTGTTGCAGGATGGACAAGGCCACATGGAGGCCAGCAGATGTGGAGACGAAGCAT